TGGACTGTTTTTGTCAGGAACAAGAGATAATGCTGTGGTCTAAAAACCACACACACACAAAAAAAATGTGGTTCAAATACAAATGTCCAATTTAAAGATAAAATCTAGAGGGAAAAGGCCAGAATGTGGGACTTGACCCCTGGAAAGCCTCTCATCGTTACAAGACACAGTGCTCATTTCCCGTAGGTCATGGAGTGCAGTATGAATTGTCCTATACCACTTTATGTACCGTCTTCCTCATGACCCGCAGGGGTTGGCCCTAGGCCACCCTGCAGATGTGACATACTATGTCTGCTCAAGTCCCTTACTGAAGTTTTAGGGGAGTCATAAGCTGTACACAGACTTTTCAAATGTCAGAGGGTTGGCACCATTAACCCCCAAGTTGGTCAAGGTCAACTGTAGCTTTTATGTTCTGATTCTGCACCAGAGAAGGATGGCCTGAGGGGAAAAGGAGAGCCCCTTCCTTTCCCAACAGGGCTGAGAAGACTAAGGAGGCAACTGTAGGCAAACAAGGCCAGACTCAGTCAGAGCTATTTCCTCACATTCATATGCGTGTTCAATAAATATAATTGTATTTCACATTAAAAATTTATTTTTAAGATGATTAGCAGGAAATTCTATTTATATGACTATTTCTTCTATTTAAGGGCAATAATAACCTTTTAAATAACAGCCATGAAATCGTGATCCATTAAAAACTGTTTTTACTCTATAATTAATGTGTCCCCATTTAGTATGTAAATGAATTATGTTAAATATATGTGTCACTCCTTAATTTTAGAAACACACTTTTGCAGATTTTTTTTGGGAAGTGTAACACGTAAGACTGATACCACTGGCTAGAAATAGTTGCTGGGGGAAAAAACTGACATAAAGCAAACGGCGTGTTATCAGCACAGAACAGCACAAGTAGGAGAAACATTCTGCTCCACCAACACACTTGCAGGGCTGTGTGTCTAAAAAAACTAACTTCCCAAAAGAGAAGTGGAGAACGTGGAAGACAATTTTGCTCATGTTAATTAGCATAACAAGTCACAAAAGCTTAAGGGGTTTTATTTTGAAGTAGGAATTACTAACAGTGGAGGCAATCCCAGGTGAGGGTAAAGGTTAAATTCACAAGACAGGTTGATATCTTTATTTTCATGACTATAATCCATAAATCCAGCTAACAGTTTTTTTAAATCACTCAATTCATCTCTCTGCAAATCTCCTAAAATATGTTAATGGCTGGCTTTCCCTGAAACTCAAGGACATTTATTTAAGGGTTCTCTAAATTGGAAAAGTACTCAGGAACTCTTTGAGACAAAGTTTCCAAATTCTTTCTTGGGTGAGTAGCTGAGTGAGACAGCGTGGTGCCCAGTCTTCAGTGTCAGTGGGAGCAGTGAGCTCCCTACCACCCCACTCAGTCTGGGAGCCTCCAGCTGTGGGTGGTTCTGCATTGTTCGGATTCCTCGTGGAGGCTCTTGGGGCTGACAGCCACTGCTCTGGGAGCCAAAACTGACATAAGAGGAGGCTCTTGTCACATGCTAGATTTTACAACTTGGCTCTAGCAATGATAAACAAAAACATAGAGACTAAAGGCTAAGGTGGTTCCAGGGACTGCCAGTCAGCTTTCCATAAATACCCTGAACTGTCCAACTTTCTCCTTTATGCCATGTGTGTGGCTCAAATGAAGTAACTAGACACTTGAAGGGAAAAAGCTGATTTACTGACAGATGCAGAGGGATGTGGCAACTTACCTGAGCATGTTGGTCATTCTTCCTCGAGTGTGATCAACTTAAAACACAGGCAAGCTTAAGCCATCAGAGTGGAGTGGGTGGCATCAAGCACTGCCCTACTGACACCTTCTTGACAAATAACTTCATGTAATTCTTTATCATTGTTTTTAAACACATCTATCCACTGGAAATGGCTGAGGATTTTGCTCCCAGCCCATCCTGTCCCACATACAAACACAGGCTTGAATCAGTTTGAATGGGCACATATTGTGGGTACTTCTCAGAGTACTCTTCTGATACCAGACCTTGCTGCATCAAAACCAGACACTCTGCTAAAAAAGTGGACTCGTTAGTGTCAGATTTATAAAAAAAAAACAACAAACTTTATTACATTTCGGTGTTTCCATTATTTTTATGTGGCTTTTCTAGTTTGTTACCTCTGCCATGCTTTCTTTGTAAGAATAAGAATTATGACGGAACCTACCTCACAGGAGGGCTACTATGATTAAGATACTACACTGAAAACACACGGCCCAGTGGCTAACAGTCAACACACAATCAACTGTCATGACTTTAAGCTAAGCACTCCGTATTCCTGGAAACCGCTCTTCTGAAGCCACCTGTCATTCATAGAACAAAGTAGTGCCTATCCACGCCACCTTGTATTTACCTATCGGACGTCACTTTCCAAAGCCCGGAATGGGTCAGGGCAGTGGGATGACACAGATGTTTATTAGGCAGCACCTGAAGGGCAAAGCTATGAAATGGGAAGTAAAATTGGGATTGAGCTTACATATCCTGTTCGGTCCATATTTTGTTTCCTCGGTGCTGCCCTTCCCCATATGTACGGGACTGTTAAGACTGTGATTCATTTATGTACTATTAGATGGATGTGGCAGTTTCTGAGGACTAGATGCAATAATGTTATTCACTAAGGCTGGTAGGCACCATTGCTTTATATTTAGCTGAATGGCTATTGACCAAGTTAATAATCACAGTGTTAGTTACTCCATTCATATCACAGAAAATTAAAAGCAACTCTTCCCTAATTGGAGTGGGATGTACTGACATCAATGTCCTATTGTGATAAAAAGAGCACTAATCACATCTTAACACATTCTGCCCCCATTTTTATTCATTGGGAGGACATGGTAGAGTTACAGTACCTAAAGCATCTGGGCGCCTTGAATTAAACATTTCAGAAGTACCTTTAATGTGGCCTCTTCATTTATATCTTACTTTAGCATAAGCATTAATCGAGCAACTACCCATAAGGTCATAAGTGGGCATCAGAATCATTTGGAGAGTTTGTTTCTGTTATTTCAATTTGAGATTCCCCTCTTTGTCACCTGTTCTTAAATAGTTCTGATCTATTTATATATTTGGAAGCCACTATCTAAAGTAAATCAGCTCATAAGTCTAAGTGGAAATCAGGCAATATTTGAAAAAGGTCCTGAATGATAAACTTTTTATAGCTGTTCTTGGGTTTTGCTTTCTTGAGAACTTGTATATATTTGAATACATACATATATATTCTTTATCTTAAGTGCTAGTGATATGAAGAATAATGAAAGTATAAAGAAATGTCTTTAGTCAATATGAATGTGATCAATATGATTTATGCAAATAATTTTGATAGGCCTAACAATCCTTTCAAAATGTATTTCTATGTTTGCCAGTTGCTTAAAACACACATTGTTTAACCTGTTAAATACATTTCTACTACACTACTTAAAGTAAAATTTAGCAAAATTTTTAAGTAATTACAATTCTTATTCATTGTGAGAACTAATGACTGGTTAAATTATACAGTTTATACTTTATTAATATAACTCTTCTTTAAGACTAATCTTAGTTCAATAGTTGATTCTTCACTGACTTAGAGAGAAGCTTTAGTGTTTATAACTTTTTTCTTTGAATTTACTATCATTTAATTTAGACTGAAATAAATGTTGCCATACCTCTGTTGACAGAGAAGGTGTGTTCTACCACATTAGCAATTTTACAGCCAGACTTATACTAATGCAAAAAATGCTTTTGTCAGATACAGGAACTATTCTATTTATTCCCACCCCCACCACCACACAGGAAGACATAAACTGTGCATCAAGCATCTTGGGGCCAAAAAGAGATCCACGTAAAATTAAGGGAAGAGCAGATGGAGAAAGTGAGCCCAGTCACCTCACTTCACAGGTCCCACAGATCCCTGACCTTCGGCAGGTTCAGCCAGCATCGCCAGATGAGATTCTTCCTTCAACCCAACTCACAGGGCACCTCAGTGTTCCAGTTAATTTCTCCCTTTAGACCAGTGGTTCTCAACTAGTGCCAATAACTTTCTGTTATGAGATGTCCTGCACAATAGAATTTTTAGCAGCATCCCAAGACTCTATCCACTAGACATCAGTGGCATTGTGCGGCTCCCACTTCTTCCCCAGCCAGTTGTGACAACCAAACGTGTCTCCAGACAGGGTCAATTGTTCCTTTGGGGACAAAATCACCCTCCCCTTGAGAACCACTAGGTTAAAAGTGGCAAAATATATATTTGAAAAGTACCTTGTCTCACAAATATCCTTCCCCTTAAAAATGCTGAAATTCCTTTAACAATCCTGTCTTCCTTTCTAAAATCATAGATTACAAGGTTCAAAGTATAGGTACCAGTTTGAGGTAACTTTGCTGGGAATACATTTCAGCTAAAGTGAACTAGTCGGTCAATAGGGCAAAGGGCTGGCAAAGGGCTGGTTTTCAGAACCATCCCAGGTCTGCTCAGACAAAAAGGCATAAGAGCTAAAGCCACCTGAAGTAGCTACTTTTCACAAAGAGAACTAAGGACAAACTTCCAAACCGTGATTACCTTACCGGAAATAATTTGTCCATCTGTCAAACACGTACCTGGTACCTTCTCGGGGCTGGTGCTAGAGGTAGTGTGAAATGTACGGTGACTTCGATATTCTGTAGCTAGAAAGAAGGGTCTAGGAGATGGCTACATATTGGATATTTAAGAGGGAGGATGGATCATTAGAATTTAAGCTCCAGGATGAGGGATTAGGTCTTATTTACCTCTGTGTCCCCAACACCTGGGACACAATAGGTACTTAATAATCATTTGCTAAATGAATAAATGAACAATAGAAAAGGCCCTGGAACAGCCAGTGGGGTTTGGGATACAGAGCTTTGGGAGGAGGCATCTGAGAAGCGTCAGGAGAGAAAGGTCTGATAGCAAGACACACAGAAGTTTAGAGATGGAGAGGACTAGAGGCCTAGTGAGAGGGACTGCAGGAGAGACAGTGCAGGGAGAAAGAGTGAGGTTGAAGGCAGATTTCCTGAGATCAGATCCACACACCACCACTTACATTCCTGAAGATCTCGGGCATCTGTAAACCAGGAATAATGCCAGTGCCTCCCTGAAAGGACCGGGGTGAGGACTCAAAGGGGTAACACTGATAAACGGTAGACCAGCAACCACCGAAGAGGAAGCTAGGGTTCAGAGTGGCAGGGTTGGAGCTGAGGAGGGTCTTGAAGAGAGCCATGAAAGTCTGGACAGTCTTTGCAGGGAAAGGGAAAGGGGGCCAACCAAGACCGAACCTGCGATGAATGAGCAACTGTGAGTGAGTACTCCGCTGTGGCAACTGTTGCCTTGGAGATATGACTAATCGACTGGTTTATTTGATTTTCTTTAGTCGTTATTAGTGACTTTAAAGCAAAGTGCAATAAAATGTCCATTGCTTTGACCTGAATTTTGAGATTGTTAAGAAACTACTAGAAGAATATATTCAAAATGACGAGCCCAGGTATTAAATGCAAAAGGAAATAAGTGAAGCCAAAAACAGCTAATAAACTGAAAGAAGTGAGAGGGGGTTGGTGACTGGAAGTCTCAAGGTCAAAAAAACAGCTCTGGAGGGAAAGGCAGAATGGCCAGATGGGGTAGACAGCCCAGTCTCCAGTCCACGTGTTCTGAGGCAGGGCAGCTCCGGAGGGCACAAGGGTCACTCCACGTCATGTGGGCACTGGGGAACTGGACAATGGGAGCAAGGCCACTTATTTTCCTCTTGATCAACTCAAACCACTCTGTTCCCAAGGGTATCTCATCAAAATGTTTTGTTGGCAAGGAATTCCATAGTTGATTAATTGTTCTAGTAAAATCCCTCTAACAATCTTCTTAGTATCTCAAAAGGCTGTAGGGTGGGTAGTTAAAGGAGGGGAAAGGCTGAAAAAATAAATAAAATATACATTAAGGAATAGCAATAGATACAGGCTATTGACAATTATATCACATATTTATACTTTAAATATAAACATTATATGAACTGGCTGATATATGGTACCCCATTCAAATGAACCAAAAGTCTTCTTAAGGGATAGATCCTTTCTCGTCATTACCTGGATGTTTGTCCAAGAAACACCTCAAAAAATGTTCATCTTTTCCCACTGTCACCTCGGTGCCTTCTCTTTTTTCCCCATCCCACCCTCAGTGCACCTGTGCACATACACCTCTCGTCCCTACATGTAATTTATGGGATTAATTTGTTTAACAACTATGTACCAGACATTGTCCTAGATGCTGGGGAACACGGCAGTCAGAGAGATTAGGTCCGTGTTCACATGAAGCTAAAGTCTAAAGGGACAGACAGGGAACATTTGAGATCTGCTTCCTAGCATGGGTTGTCAGTTTGGCTCAAATAAACTCTTATAAATATTCAAAAAATAAAAATATAAAAATAAATAAAGGGAGAAACAGTTGACAAACAGGTGAGCATATTCAAAAACGATTTCAGACAGTGAAAAGTGCTATAAAAATAAGTCATGCAATAACATAGTTTATACTGATTTACATATTATATTAAGTGTATATCTACATAAAGTTATCATATAGGAATATGTCTCTATTATCCTCTAAGAAATTAGGGTGTAAGTGACAAAAATTATCATCCAATCCAATGTAGAACTATTGACTGAACAGAAGATAACGGATTTGCTGATTCTGTATTTCTGCTTAAGAGATTACACAGGATGTTTGGCTCAGTCATATACGAATCACAAATAACAACATTTTTAAAAGCAAGCAGGTTTAAGAAGGCCTCACCTCCCACCAGCCCCCTGTTTATCCTCGAAGCGAGATGCAGAGGGCGCCCACCAGCACTTCTCCAGGCCTGTGAAAACAAGCATCTGGGGCGGAGGTCCTTGGACAGCAATCTTGCAGTCCTTGATTTCTAAATCAGACTCCATGGTCCAATTACCAGGGTTCTTTCTTCAAAGAAGTAGAGCATAAGAATTCTACTTAGGCTAATCAAATAATATATTAGGCTCACTGAATGATCCATTAGGCTACCCTCAAAAAAGAAAAATGTAACCACTGCCTTGCCTGTAGAAGAATTTCTTAAGATTTTCTGGGGTTTGGTTCCACATCAAGTCAAACAGGAGCAAATATAGATTGTGCTTCTCACATAGCATCAGGTGAGAGGAAAACAGGGATCTAATGTAGGAGTTCGTATTTCTCCTTTTTATCCAACCAGTTAATATATCCAGCACGACGGGACCTGGTGTTGTAACTAAAACCCCAACCACCAGAGATGGGTAGGGGGTCCCCTTAAGACCCTGCCAACAGAGTCCTATAGCCTCTGTGAACTTCCTGTGGAATTCCAGAACTAGCACATCTTATTTGTACTTTATCCATCATTTTTTTAAGCAACTAAGAAGTTTAAGTGCATGTTTGTTATGCTTACAATTCACTCAAGGTAACCAAATTAAAACAGAATGAACACTTTTCATAAACTCTCTTTATAAATGGAATTTTGTTGTTATTCTCAAGAAAGCCATTAACTGCCAGTCTGTAAGCTTGTATTCTGGAGGACGGACATTCACATCTTTCCCTGTTCTAGTTCAGGATATCGCAGGTACAAATGGATAAGATGTCATATAATACTGAAGAGAATTTCAGCGACATCCGTGTTATCATTTGTTTGAAAAAAGTGACTCCTTCTAGAACATTAGCATCAGATAAAGACAATCAGAGTGTTCCTAAAGCATTACTCAGACTAACCAGTTTATCACCAGATTCCTACTCCTTCCTTTCCTGTCTATCTCTGCAAGGAATCTGATCTGGAAAAACTGCTCTGGGACCTTTGCGGCCCACTGTATAAACACACAAAGGGCAAATGTTCTGAAGTTCTATACTTTCGGCTTTCTACCACTTGCCTCATCCCTTCTACTAGCCATTTTCCTATAGGAGGACCCTTCTACCTGTCCTCTATCTTCTTTCCTATAATGTGAAGTCGCATGCAAAAGGCAGCCGTGCTATTTTCACACTAAATTCCTCACTACATTTTATTTAGCAGCAGTACTCCTCACCCTGGCACTTACCTTTGAGACCACTCTTTGTAGCCCAGAGACCTCCGTGTGCTTCTCTGTGCTGGATTACCCCTCCTCGTGTAGCTAACTCCTGAGCAGGGCCATTTGGAATTGTCTCTCCTTTTCGTAAGTGAAGGGCCTGGCCCGGCCCACCCAGTCTTGTCAAACCTTTTGTCTGGAGTGTTCAAGTACTCAAGCCCTCGGGGAACTGGAATGTGATGACAGCGGAGACACTAAAATGAGAGAATGGAAATAAAGTAGCTCTTCAAAGATGTCTGGTAAACTTTTACATGCTGTATTAAAACTAAACCTTGTCCCGGATAATCAAGTTATCCTGGATCCCATTGTTGAATATTTTCTCAAAATTTGATGGCAAGAGAGCAGAATTTCATTTTTTCAACTTTGTGTCCCTAATTTGGGGAAAGATAAATATTCTGGAGTTAGATTGCTACAGAATATTAATCCTGTGCCGTGCTGGCTCTACAAAACAATTATTTGTATTCCTGGTTAGGGGTTTGCGCTGCACCATAATAAGACAGCTGGATTAAAGGACTGATAATCAATTCTCCGGACTTTTCTGAAGCATTAAAATCCCTTTTTGTGTTTTCATTTTGCAGAACACTGTAATACACCAACTGAGAATAATAAAAAGAGCACTTAGATGTTAGGCAATGAAAAACCAGGACTTCATCACTGCACTACTAAGTTTCCACATGTGATTACTCTGTCTTTCAAACTACTATACGTTAGCTACATGGACATTTAAGACCTTAGAATAGGACTTAACTTATTTTGATTGCTTTAAAATGCATTTTGCTTTGCTTTTTAAATGAATTTCAGTAATTACCAAAAAGAAAAATGAACCTAATTTCTTTATTATGTTCTTGAGCCAAAATGATGCATGACATTTAATTTGGGGAAAGTACTCTTTAAAAACCAGTATGTCAAATAACTAAGTTCTCTGACTAGAACTCATATTTCAGCTTTAACACATAATCCAAATAACCTTGAATTACATAGAAAAGATGAAAAAGAACTAAAGTTTTTCTTCTAATACACTGAAGTAATTTTAATTCTCAATATATTGTGCCAGTCTTTGGAAAAATACTTGTAAAAGAATGTGAATCATAGCAGTTCACATCTCTTCATTTCCTATATAACTGTGTTCCTTACACCAAAATGCTTACATACCAGCCACCAAAGGTTAAGCCTCTTGAATTACAAAATGAGTTTATGGCCATTGTACTTTAAAATTGCCTCTGTGCACTTGCTCATTCTGTGCCTTTTACCTGAAATACCTTAACCCATAGTTCCCACTAGGGTCTGCACTTAGAATAAGATTACCCCCTAGATAGGGGTTTTGAAAATATACCCAAACCCAAGCCACATCCCAGACCAATTAACTCACATGCCTAGGATACGGGCATCAAGTTTTTGAAAGTCCCCAGGTGATTCCACTGTACAACCAACTTGTCCCAGGCACTCTTCTGTTTGTCCTTCCCATCCAGTTGACAGGGGGTGTCCTACACCCTCCCTGACAGTCCTAAGCCTTCCCACTACTTCTGCATATCTGTACCATACCCAGCATTGAAGTGTATTGTGACTGTTTACTTCCATGCCTGGTCCCTCAAACTACTATAAGATTCCGGCATATTCTTACGGCTGACTCCCAGAGTCTAACTCTGTGCCTAGTGTATGGGTGTATTTATTAAATTCATAGAATGAATAACTTCTTCCTAAGAAAATCCAAAGCAAAATTATTATTATGATAATATTTATATGCCATGGAAAAGTAATAGTTTAAGATGTGTTTAGGATGATGTTTCACTGATGGGCATTGTCTCATATTTAGGCAAACATTTCATACCAATGAAAATAAAACACTATCTCAACATCACAAAGCATCATAAAACTTTGATTGCCTACAAAATTACATTCTTTCCCTAATAAGCACAGAAAAACATTTCCTATGATAAATATCCAAAATAATCCATTCTTTCTCAGCTCCACTTTCATCTTAAATAGATTATGTCTTTTCTCTTCCCTCTCTGCCACTGAGTGACAGCTGCCACGAGCACAGTCGCAGGTCAAGGATGCAATCAAGGGTTTTCTTTCAGCACCAGCTACCAAATCCTGGCCCCGCTGCCTGGGGGAGGACCTGCCAAGGTACTAGTTTGTGCTGTTTTCCAAAGCAGTCCTTTCAGAGTTTCATGATGCTTCAGGGGTTCATAAAACTAATTTTAAGAGTTTTAAAGTACTTAATTTACTAAATATTATGTAAGAACCTATGTTTATTGTAACATTCACACTGTTCTACAATTAATCGGGTAATGTCTTTCTCAGGTCCTCCTCTGCTTTCTCACCTCCATAGAATCATTATGATTCAAAAAATATTCACACAGTAAATTTTGCTACAATCTAATTCTAGACAATAAACCCAATCTTAAACATATGTTTAAAAAAGCTGTCTAAAAATATTTTGCTACTTGGGTTACCCAATTATTTCATACTGCAGCAATGTTTCACAATCTAACAATATGTTGCTCTTTAGTCACTAGATTGTTATGCACAGGACCTGAAAAGAAATCAGATTTAGGAACTGTTTTCCAAGATAATATGTTAGTCATTTTTCTAATTTATATTTACATATGATATACTGGATTATCTCATGACATCAAATTAATTTAAGACCTTCCCAACTAGTGTTCAATATGTACTCATTTTGAATGCATATAACAGACAAAAACGAGAAAAAGTTCAATCCTCCACTTTTAAATACCTGCATTATAATCAACTACTGTTAACCAATTTTTAAATTATTCTATTAATTACAACTAATTTAAAAAGCAGTCATGAAAACAGTTCTTGTCCTTTCCATAATGGAGTCGGGATTCTAAATCAGAAGTGTAACATCCCTAGAAACTGCTCTACTTTATCAGAAACAAGCTCTGAATGTATTGTCAATTGTGAAAAGACAAAAGATCACCGTTCGTGAGACTCAGTTCTAATGTCATGGTTCCCAAAATGCAAAAGCTGCGAATGAGACTATTCCAAGTGAGCTCCTGTTATAATGAACACAAAACTGAATTTCTTTTGCCAAGCAAACAGGGCACACAGACTGGCATGCTTTAAACCAGCAATTTTCAACTGGTGTGTCACAAGAGGCATACTGGTGTGCTGCACGAGTTTTATAAAGTATACAACACCTCACTATTCAGTAAGGGGCACTGATCATTTTTCCTTTAGATTGTGGAGTGAAAAAATAATAGCCAACACACCAACAGCTATCCGGTATGAATGAATCAAAATTATCATCTTTTTTTGCGGGGGAGGGTTCAGGGCAGCAAAACAATGATTTCTTTGGTGTACTGCAGAATTTTAGTAAGTTTATATGTGCCATGAGATGAAAAGGGCTGAAAAATCGCTGCTTTAAACCAATAACCGCTAGCTTGACACATTTATGTTTGGATCAAAAGAGTGGGGGGGGCAGTTTAAAGTTGGTTTCTATCAGCACGTTTGATTTTGGGTGGTGTCCTTTCTCAGCTACTCCTCTGCCGCCTTGTTTCTCACCCAACCGTCATAACCTGAACGTACAACCCATCACTCCTTTCGCGAGGGGCCCTGTGGTGCTTTAATGCCTCCCACCGCTCTGGCCATGCATTCCAGGCTCTGGAGTCAACCTAAAACCTCGGAGGGAAAAGCTCAGGAGGTTGGAGCGCTGTGGGGCTCTGTGGGTCACGGGCCAAGAGGCCAGGAAGAACGTCAGTCTCTCTCCCTTGGTCTCCAGTTCCTAGGTGCAGGTCACAGATGCCGCAGCCTCACGGGAGAGGCATAGCTCGTCACTTTCCCAGACCAAACAGCTACAGATGGCCAAAAAAAAAATCCTCGACTTCAGTGCCATAAACACATCTTCCACTGGCGTCTTCCTCTCCAAACACCATCTGGAGCGGACAAATATAATAATTTCGGGGGGGGGGGGGCGTCACAGGCACTAAACTACAGCAGACAGAGGTTGTTTCTACCTGAAGAACTGGAGAGGCAGAGCTAGCGGGGGAGGCGCCCTCTCCACCCAGAATAAAACTCGAGGGCGCGACGTCCCGAGTAATGGGTGGGCAGGTGGGTGCGGGACAAGAGCACAGGCAGGAAGCTAGGAGTCACGAAGCCTCCTCCGCTGGAAACGCCTTCTCTCTAAGTGGCCTCCCCTTCATCGTTCCGAATTAGTAAGACGGTGCTCTGGCCAACCAACCACCCGTAGCCAGTCCGAAAGGAGCGTTCCCGGGGAACAAGGGCCAGGAATCGGAGACGGCTGTTGGGCTGGGAGGGAGAGGCGCTGGCAATGCCCCCTCCCGCCTCTCTCTCCTTCGCGCGAGGCAAGGCCTAGATCACAGGGGTCCAAACACAGCGTCTTTCTGCGGCTCGCCTCCCTCTCTTTGGATCCCAGAGAAGAGGTTCCCTTCGCTTTTTCTCGACCCCACCTCGTGGCGCCCCTTCGAGGGACGCTTGGTTGAGTCCGGGGCGGGCCCGGCAGGCGCCGCACGTGCTCCCGGGGCTCTGTAGCCTCCCCCTCCGGGTCCGGACCGGGAAGAAGGCGGAGCCTCCGGGGGCTGGGCGGGAGGCGTGGGCGGGGGGCGGGGCCGGCGCGGAGCGCTCCCTTGGCGGTTCTGGCCGAAGGACTGAGAGCAGCCCGGCGATCGCGGCGCGGGCAGGAAGGGACGGATCGCAGATGTGAGTCCAACGCCTGGTGCTCCAGACTTTACTTCGAGGTAGAAGCAGGAACCCAGAGTATTGGGGCCTTCCAGCCCGCCCCCTAGCCCGCCACTCCGCCCCGGCCGCCCGCTGTGCCCCCTGCCGGCCGGGCGACGGCGGCGGCTGGACCGGGCTTTGGGGGTGGTTTCAGGAAAGTCGCGAGCTCCAGCGAAAGCTGTATCCCTTCTCCCCGTCTTTCTTCGTCTTCTCCTCGCTCCCTCGGCCCCGGGCGTCGGGCACCGGGCTGGTAGGTTGCCTCCCCTGAGTCGAAGCTCGCCCACGCTGGGGCGGGAGGACGGGGCCCCGGGGCAACCCAGCCGGGCAGCCCGGAGACGCGGAGCTTCGGGGCTGCCTCGGCGGCAAGGGCCGGAGGCCGCTCGGGCTGCTGGCTGCGCCCCTGTGCTCGGTGTGTCGCGCTAGGCTCTCTGGTGGTCCCTGGCGCCCTGTTCTGGGGGCGCCTGTCCGTCGCGCCCCGTTGCTGTGCCTGGGCGCCAGGGCCAGCCCCTAAGCCCTGCATTCCTGGGTGCGGTGCCTGCCGCCTGTTGTGTGCGCCTTGGAGCCGGGCTGCCGGGCTGCCAGGCTGCGGGAAGGACCCGAGCGTAGCGTCTGCCCCATCGCCCCTGAAAGTGCCTAGTCGGGGGAGCCGGAGATTGAGTTTGAGCTCCGCGGCGCCAGAAGGGGGCCTCGGAGGAATGCCGAGTTGGGGGCGCAGACTGCAGAATTTGGGTTCCTGGAGGAGCTTGCAGCGCGCAGGCCCGGCCCCAGGCAGATGAGACCACCAGTCTCTGCTCCAGGATGGCCAGGAACTGTCAGGTGTGGACAGCTTGGGGCCACCAGTGTGAAGTCCACAGGGATAGTAGCAGCACCTCGAGTCCCGGGACGGTATAACCAAATGGTGAGGGCATTTTCTTAAAAGGTTGACTAAATGGAAAGCTGTCAAGATAAGCATATTTTAAAGTTTGAGGGAAAGCTGGTAGATTTTTTCAGGCTACGCAGTTATGTATCCAGAGAAATATTAGTTTCTTTAACCCTTTTTGTTTTTATTTTTTAGCACAAATCTGTTTTGCCAGGATTTTCCTCAGGAGCTGTGTATTGCTCACAGCAGGGAAAGAAAACTTAAGCAATGTTCTCGGGTTGCTTTTGACTTCAAGCCTGTGCTCTCCAGTTTTTTTTTATTTTAGAATGTGCAGAAAAGGTATCTCTTGCTGGATTTTCAGTGTATAATTCTGTCTCGTCTCTGGGACCCGACGATGTTTGTTTATTGGTTTTATAAGCATCTATTTAAATTTAGTTTTTGCAGGAAATACTCCCCGTTGCCACAGGGTGTAGTTTACGGATTAGAAAATAACTGCTGGAGAAAGCTGCTAGTGGCTTCATTTTCCAAGAATGTAAGTCATTTCCTTTCTGTGATTTCAGGGAGTTGATATTTCACAGCATCAAAACTTTGTGGGGAAAATTTTCCATAATACATCTGTCATTAAAAAGGCTTTTCACTTTTTCTTCTTTAGAGCAAAACATAAATTTAGGTTCAGCAAGGTTAAAGGATAAGAAGTTTCTCAGAGTCTATAGCATTTTTAGACCATTGTAGAGAGTAATTTTAACAACCACCAGGACCTACAAACAGCCTGCAGGATGGAGAGTGGGGGAGGGGAGGCGAGAAGCCAGAGGCAGGAAAACAGATGCGTTTGCTGCTGTTCTTTGTAGTATAAAACTTCTATCACTTAATCATTTTCCCTGGATGTGGTTTTGAGAAATAAAAGTATTATGTTAAAAATGAAAATACTCCACAATATGAGACAACTGACATTTGAGTTTTCTTTCAGTATGTTTGTAAACATACTGGATTTATATTTCATAATAAAATGGGCCTTTGGAGTTATTAGGTGAGAAGCATCCTCCAGGAGATACCTACCATCAAGTTATCTGCAGGGTGTCTTCTCCAGTAAACAGAATGACTGTAATATGAACTAATTTTCCCCTTTTTGAATTGCTTATAAGAATGCCTGAGATTGGGCACTTACGGACCACAGTTATCAACAGCTTTTGCAGTGCTCAAAACATTTTGAGACAGGAAATCTTTCTCTGTTTTCCCTCTCACCTTTTAGGGGGGCAACAGAGTAAACTACTAGCTTCAAATACATAATTCAAACTGGAAGATTTAAGATGCTCCTCCTAGCTTTACAGGAAAACAATACAGGGCAGGATAAGACTGTTTGAAAGCAAAATGTTGGTGATAGGTAATAATTCTTAGCTACAGGTTCTTCAAAAGCTGCATTGGGGGGTAGCTGTAGAGCTTTTCTAGTTTCTGTACTTTGTTTCCTGTTTCAACTTCACTTACAAAGTTTTTGGCTTTCTGAACCAATGACATAATAGACTGTGTAGCCTTTTGTGGCAGATGCTGGAAATGGAAGTTTCAAACAGAATTGCTTTTGACTGAGCTGTCAAGTTCAGAGTTTAGTGTAAATGAGTCCTGCCTCACAACTAACTTTTTTGATAAGGGATTCTTTGTAGTTTTCAACTTCTATGTTGCCCATTTTGATTCCTAAGGCTATGGGCTTACAAAAAACATAAAACCTGCAAACAATTATTTTATTACATGAAAGCCAGTACCAAGAAAAGATTAATTCAGTCCAGATGTAAAAATGTATGTGAATTTTAGATTTGGATGATCTCAACAAGTTTTCCCTTTTGTTGATGAGGCTGCCTGGATCGCAGATGGCATGCGCAAATTATCCTTTTGGTGGTTTTCTGAGTTCAGAACTAAATTTAACAGGCCTTTTTCTAAGGTCATTTTAATATTGTTTCAGGCCTTCTAAAGAACAGAAAGTTTTCTGCATTTATGCAGAGATGGGTTTTTCCGATTACTCATTAATACAGACCTCATAAATGACCTGGTTTGGTAGATGAAGCCTATTTCGTAAGTGTTCAGATATGTGTACCTTTATGGGCAAAGCATTGAAGCTTTGGCTTTCAATTGCCAATTCCAACTCTCTTCTTTTAAAGAAAAAACAAGTTTTAAGTGTGTTTATAGTCTTTAGTGGAATCCTGTTGGAACACAATTTGTGTTTTCTGATACAGCATTTGGTACTTGTATGATGATCCTCTGACCTCCTCTTTCTTCTACCAAAAAGAAATAATACACACAACTTATCAGAAAACTCCAGTATTTTTTCTTTGTTTTTTTCTTGATAACTTTTTAAGTTGAATTTATTGGGGTAACATTGATTAATAAAATCACATAGGTTGCAGGTGTGTAATTCTTTTATACATCATCTGTATATTGTGTATTCACCAAAACTTCAGTATTTTTTTAACCTTTATTTCCAACACCAAAGTTATAAAGGGTCTGTGTTGCACACTTAAAATGATACATATTTTAGAAAGTTTTTGTATCATTATATAATTATACATTTTGGGAGTTTGGTTACATTATGATTGTGTATAAAGCAATCAAGTGTTGGGGAGAGATAGGAAGCATTTACTGAAGGAATTTTATGAATGGTGAAATTTCAGTTAAAATGTATCTTTCCTAAAACTCAAACAGGAAAAATGGTATTGTTGGTCTCTGTAGTTAAACTTTGATTTAGGGGTAGTTTTGAGAAGGCTTTTGAATTGCACATTATCCTGAGAAAGAGGCTTTGGGGACCAGTAAAAATAAGTAGAAATAAGTTAAAGGGGTAATTTGAGAGGAAGGAAGAAGTAGAATACTTGGCATTGGATTGCAAGGAAAATCTAAACTTAGAAGGATGACTATTTAAAACAAGGCTAAAGTGGGAATTAAAGAATAGATCTTTTTAACTGAGAAGAAAGGATTAGAATTAAGGTGCCCTATAAGGTCTGTATACAACTCGAAGCAGTGCTGAGTAATGTCTGTCATGCATATCTTGCCTGCATTTGTGTTGAAATAGTGTTCAGGGACTGGATGCTTATGATTGTGCCCCCTGCCCACCCCAGTTACCATTTCAAAGACCGGAAACATTTTTTTTTGTCTTAGCTTTAATGATTCTACAAATACTTAACTAGTCTCACAGCTTTTGGGAGAACCACAACTGCTCACCCCAATGTACTGGGACCAGAGAACCTCTACAGAAGTAGTGGCTGAAGTTATCAGAGTTTTGAGTGAAAACAAGCAAGCTGTACTTCCACTTATGCTATATGCATTAGTGGTATAATTACTTCTAATGCAAGTTTGTGAACTATCACTTTTTTATGTATCAAATGTTGTGATCATGCAGTATGCCACATTGATCAAGGAGGGATTATTGAACACTGGAAAGGGGTGAGATATCACAGATTTGACAGACAGCTGGTTGTATTAGCGGAGGAGGAGAAAAAGGTAATGCTGAAACACATCCACAGATGAATGGAAAATGCAGGCCAGAGGAGAAGGCAGGGTTTGCCAGTGCTTCCCTGAAGTTGTCTGTAGTACAGCATTTTCTTGAATGCCTTTCCCTATCTGTGTGACCTTACCTAGTGGAGTTTGATTTATAAAGCAAGAAACAAGTCAGAGATTTGGGCATTATCAGGTGATTTCATTAATGTGATAATTG